ATAATAAATAAGTTATTTATCGAGTGGCTTTCAATGTTATTTAAAATAACAGCCACTCAACTAAGTGGAAATAATATGATGTAAAGAATACAGAGAATAATTTTTTTTACATATTTATGAAAATAAAATCACATAAATTATAAAATAACATAAAATACATAAAAGTAAATTTACTTTTCTGAGAATGTTTAGGCCAGCAGAGAAGGCCTTGCTGGCCCTCAGGGTCCGCCACTGGCTTTGTGTTTGTGGACCTTGAGCTGAACATGAGACTCCTTCAGTCCCTTTGAGACCCTGTTTCAAATCTCAGAAATGAGTTTCGTTCATAGGGTGTGATGGGGTACTGGAGTCATATGACATGACTCGAGTTCCGTTTGTTTTTAGGGACTTCCGACTTGTTTGCCAAAAACTTGGGAACTCCACTCAACCTTCTGCCAACTCCTAGCCACCCCAGTAGTAAAACTGTCAAGAAGTGCTCCTGGCTCATAGTGTGTCCCTGCAGCTGTTTAGTTCCTGCCGGGCACATTTTCCAGTCAGTTCAATTCGACATCAAAATGGAGGTAGTGATCCTATCCTTTAGCTCGAACAACCAACTGAAAGGCAGCACACTAAAGCACCCATGAATCTGTCCTCTGCTCATCCTCACAAGGGTCACAGACAGGCGTGCTGGAGCCTGTCCTAGCTGTCTTCGGGCAGTAGGCGGGGTACACCCCCCGAACTGGTTGCCAGCCAATCGCAGGGCACAAACAGACGAACAACCATCTGCGCTCACACTCACACCTTGTGACAATTCCTGCAACACGTGTTTTTGGAATGTGGGAGGAAACCGGAGTACCCGGAGAGAACCCACACAGGCACAGGGAGAACATGCAAACTCCACAGAAGGAGGTCGGAGCCGGAATTGAACCCTGCACCTCTGCACCGTGAGGCCAACATGCGAACCAGTAGACCACCGTGCCGCCTTTTGTAACTTCATTCCTACTAATTCTTTCTGTGATCTTTTTCTTTTTTGTCATTCCTATTGGCTTTCTGGGCCCCATATACATTTGTTTTCGATGTGCAGGGTGTCCAATCTTCATTTTTCAATACATTAAATCCTAAAAAATGTCTAAAACAAAGAAACTTCAGAATAATATTACTTTCATTCAGTACATTTTAGTTATAATTTGCATAGACGAATTAAATGAATAATCCAAATTCTGTCTGTTTGGTAGCAACCAATAAGGTGCGCATGATGGACGTGGCAGAAAGGATAAAGAGCCTTCTGCGATCTGATATGCCTCCAGTTCAATTCAAACTGCTGGGAACGCTACGCATGATAGTTGATGGACAAGGTGAGGCACTCCCTTATAGTTTGGAGTATTGAATGCATTAATCCCACAATGAATTGGGATCGTTTTCACTGGGGCCTTCCTCAGATGGCCCCAGTGAAAGTGGTCTGTAAATGTGTCAAGTTAAATTCATTTTGTTAATTTACACCAAATTCTCTTGCATCAATCCTCTCAGTCTGTACCACAATTTAACTGATTATTTTTTTGGCCCATGCACTCTGCATTTCCAATTCATTTGAAAATCAGTTATGCCATTTTTCTGTGCATTTGTCAGAGGAAGCAGCCGTGGTGCTGGGAACCGATGCCGCTCTCCTATGTCGGGTTACAGAGTGGTGTGAAGCCAAAGACCACGTAGGACTAAGAGGAGAAGCCAGTCGTCTATTGTCTGCTCTTATAAGGCACAGCCGCAGGCCTGTGAGTTATTTTCTGTTTTCATCCAAACCAAGCCCCAATGGAAATATCCAGAGGTGTAAATTCGTCAGTAAATTTTGCCAGTCTGTCATTCTTCATTCACCAGTGGCCAGGCGACCCGTCTGTCGTCATCAGTCCGTCATTATTTCAAGCCGAAACAAACTGTCATCATCAGCTTATCATTCCGTCAGCATTATTTTAACTGAATAACTTCATTGTTAAATAATTGTTCATCACCATCCAATTTGATTAAATTGATTATTGGAGTACACTTGTATACCACCAGTGTATCTACATCATACAGTGCCTACCCAAAGAGCTTTACTAAGCCTCATATTCACTTAATCTATTGAACTGTAAAGTAAAGTTCAGTAAGCCGGTGGCTGCCAGCTGCTGTTTTACTTTAAACTTTAAAATGCCTTACTGTAACCAGGATCCTGCTCTGCATTGTGGCCAAGGGTAGAATCCAATCCAGGTCAGATCAAATAAAATCCTTCACACTATGTGGGCATCAGCAGCATCCTCAAGCTGAGGCAAACGACTTTCATTTTTTGCCATGCATGACGGCGTGAGAGAGAGAGCCTAACGATCGAGTTTTCATATGCTGCCGAGATGAGCTTCATTGATCAAATTGCTGACTAGTTTATTTGAAGCTCATTAGCTGTGTAACTTCTTATTCACGCTCATGGACATGCATTTATGGGCACCCACTTCCGTGTTAAGTTAGTTAGACTCGGTTAGTGACAATTACATTGACAGACGAACACCCGCTTCCGTCAGTGCTTAGTCCATCACTTTTTTAAAAGTTTCCTGTCATTTAATATATCTCCTGTCATCTATATCTATATCTGACATCCCAATATATTTGAATTACTGTCCCTGGGTCATTGAAATATACCAAATCAATCAAAATTATTTAAGATAAGATAAGATAAGAAAACTTTATTAGTCTCGCAATGGAGAAATTCCCAATTCACAGCAGCAAAGTTATGAAAGGAAGAAGTAGAACAACAAAATATAGGAGCTGCTGGAAAGGCAGCCACTCTCGCGGCGCCATCTTGAAGTCAAAATAACA